CTGGCAGCATTTTCCCTTCCCCCATCCTGTGGTTCTTCTAGATCCAGGTCAGGCCTTAGGCCATTGCCCTTCCTCCTCTGCTCTGCTCAGAATGAGTCTCTCCATGTCCAGATTGCCCAGTCTCAAGGGACCTAAATGTGGCCTGCACTCTGGGATTCACAAGACAGGGCTCCTTTCCATTATCTGCAGCACCTGAAACAGGCACTAATTCCATGCTCCAACTTGCAGTCCCTTCCCTACTCCATTTCCTGACCAGAGCTCCTCCTAGAGCTGTGAGCTAGGTTGCCTACATGGGTCCCATGATACCTTCTTGCTGCATTACCTTGGCCACTCCCCAAGGTGCCCAGGGCCTCATGTTGAAGCTGCCATTAGCACCCTGAGAGTAGGGTGGCCTTGCTGTTTAGTGTGTTTTCAACATCTGCTGTAGTAACTGGAGTTTATTTTTTTGCTATTGGGTATTGCACCCAGGGGCACTTTACCACTGAGCTACATCCTCAGTCGCTTCCATTTTTTATTTTGAAAAGGGGTCTCGCTAAATTGCTGAGTCTGGTCTCAAACTTGTGATCCTCCTGCCTCAGCGTCCTGAGTCACTGGGATTGCAGGCATATACTAAGATGTCTGGTTTGACTGAGGCATTTTTGATGCCCTGAAATATTTCTGGGTGGAGTGTATCTGAGTGTAGAGCATGTACTTTGGATGCACAAGGCCCTGGACTCTTCAATTCCCAGCATACAAAGAAAATATTTAAATAAATGAGTGAATCAACAAACAAAAGAATCAACATTTAAGATGGAAGAAAAGAGATAAAGGAAGAGAGAATCCTGATGCCCTGAGCCCCCAGCTTCAGAGGAAGAAGCAGAAGGAGCACAAAGTTGGGCAGAAGATAAACAACAAGAAGATACCACTTGATTTTGGTCCTGTTGATTATGAGGTCTTTTGAGACACAGAATGTGATCAGGAGCTCAGGAGTGGAATCAGCATGAGAGACTGCTCTGCCTGCCTCAGAATTGTTTGATTCTCTTCATGTCTGATAGTATTCCCTGGGGTGGTGGTGGGGGCAGTAATTGAAATTTAGTGCTCAGTTCTTAAAAATGCATTATCATTCCTTTCAACATTTTTCTATACATTTTGTGCAATCCACTTTTCTATATTTTATCCATATTTGATTAAACTTTTTTTCTCTAAATTTAAAAACTCATTTTTTTTAATACTCTGCCTTTTTTTTCCAGCAAGAAATATTACTTTAATGCAAAGGATTTATTCTTTCCTACATGGTAGGTACTATAACATTCCCTGGGAATACAGATATGAATAAAGTATGTTCACTCCCCTCAAAAAGTGAATAGACTGGTGGTGGGGAGTAGATGTTTAATTACAATAATAGCTACAAAGAAAAAGCCTTTTTTACAAGGCTTGTCTTAATTGATTCTTATAGTCTCTCACCCTCTCATCTGCTATATGTCTTTTTTCTCTTCTTTTAAATTTTATTACATGAGCTTTATTATTATTATTATTATTATTATTATTATTGCCTTACATTTCTTAATACACCTTTATACCACAATTTATCATATCTCTGTATACAGATTATGTTGACACCATAATTCACATCTTCATACATGTATTTTGTATAACAATGAGGGTCTCATTCCACCATCCATGCAATTCCCCTTCTCCCTCCCTTACCCTTCCACCCCTCTTCCCTATCTAGAGGTAATCTTCTTCCCATGCTCTTCCTCCCTACCCCATTTTCCCATTTTGAGTCACCCCCCTTATATCAGAGAAGACATTCGGCATTTGTTTTTTTGGGGATTGGCTAACTTCACTTAGCATAATCTGCTCTAATGCCATCCATTAATTAATTTATTTTTTCTGGTAGTACAGTTTGAACTCAGGAGTGCTTTACAACTGAAGTTACATCCACAATTCTTGATATATCTTGTTTGAGATAGGGTCTCACTAAGTTACTGTGGGCCTTGCTAAGTTGTTGAGGCTGGCCTTGAACTTGTGATCCTCCTGCTTCAGCCTCCCAAGTAACTGGGATTACAGGAATGCACCACTAGGCCTGGCAGGATATTAATTTCTTTAGTGCTGTGACCACCTTAAAGGAGGCAGAACTTCATAAAACATGATGGTTCGTGTTGCTGTTTGGACGCATTCCAGAGGTGTTCTGATGTGGAATCCTTTCCTTCTTGAGCAGAATAGTGTTGAAAACCACTGTTTTCATGTGTGCGCAATGGAAAGTTGGGGGTAAACAGAGGTGCTTCTGGGCCATTTCCCATTGTTCCAGAATATGTGCTAGCTAAAGCTCTTGAGGTAGGGGTGAGACTCAACCAGGTCTCGGAGCAGGAGGAGATGAGGCTGATGGATAAAGTCAAGGGAAAGAAAAAATAGAATAAGGGAGAGTAGAATCCAGTGAATGTCCAGGGGAGGATTTGACTTTGAGCTTGCTGTTTTCTGCTTTGAGTATTGAAGGCCTTCAGCCCAGGTTTTCCTGGACCATCTAATTTGTGACTAGGAAAATATGATTGGGTTTTCCTGCTAATACTGCCTTTTCAAATAGTGAGATTCAATGAAGGTACATTTTTAGAAAAAATCAAGAGGTGAGAAAGTAAAGTGGGAGCGGGATGGAGACACCATCTTTGCATCAGTTGAGCAGAGCAGCACTAGAAATGTCTTGAAAGGTATCTGGAAGGACATAGCAGGAGGACATGTGTGGCCAATGGACATAAGGCAAGGATGTGGCAAAGGGAGGTAAAAGGTGATGAGGGAGCCCTGGGAAGGCAGGAGATGTGGGTGCAATGTCAGCACCGGTCTGAAGAGAGCTGCTCACAAGTGGGTCGAGGGAAGTCACTCTTCCTATGAGCCTGGGAAGGCGGGAGGCCCTGGGTCACTCTTGGGCTCCCCTGCTATTGAAGTCTTGCCACAGGCCTGGGTTGAGTCCTGGATTAACTGACCACCTTAGGGAGGGTCACTGGGAAATGGCCTTGCCCAGTCTTGCTGATTCTGAGCTCCTCTTTCCATCCCCGTCTCCCTCCAGCATGACAACCCCTTTGACAAGGGCTGTGCCACAAACTGTTACATCACGATGTGTATGCCACTGGGACCCAAGTAAGTTGCTAAACCAGGGGCTCAAAGGGTGGACCCTAGGGTTGGTATGGTGGGTGAAGCTGGGTCATTTTCCTGTAGTCCTTTACCCCAGCTCCCAGGCCCTGACACTCATGTTCCTTTCCTTTGGGGTTTCTACAGGGAACTCTGGGAGCTTCTAGGAGTTTTACTCTTCATTGCCTTTAGAGGTTCTTGCCCCCCAAAATGGAGGGGAACTGTAGCCTAGATGAGGTCAAGGTGGATAGTGACCCCTTACATTTGGCCTCTTGTTCCACAGGTACATGTCAGAAACTGTGAGTCTCCAGATAGAGCTGGGGACTGAATTGGAGCCAACAAAGATGTCCTCCCCAGCACAACATTCCATAGAGATCCCTGGGCCCAGGTCTCCAACTCAGGGTCCCCCATGTGGTGTTGAGGCTGCACCTTTACAGGAAGTAAGGAGTAGTGGGTGTGCATTGAAATAGAGGGTGCCTGTGGGCTGTGCATGTATTAGAAGAAGCCATTCAGATTGGGCTGTCCCTGAAGCTGATGCCCTTGGAGCATAAGAAGTGGGATTGTGGACCTGGTACCTGGTCAAGATCACAGGGCTTCAGAGCTTTGGAACGTGTCCCTGGATAGACAAACAGAAAAAAATGGAAGCACTTTCTGATTGGCTTTGGGCCAGTCCTTTACCTTTCTAGAAACTATTTTTCTAAGCTATTACTGAGGACTGAGACTAGGGTAATAGTTGATGCTTTAAAGAAGATTCTAATTTTTTTCAATGGAAATAGTTACTTGATGTACCATGTGAAACATTGGAGTGAAGCATTAGAAATGCAGTGGGGTGGGTAATATATAGTGCCCCCCGCATGGGCCCTGGTGTTGACTTGTGTTCCAGCCCTTTCTTTGTTCTGTTTCCAGGCACCCAGGGACATGACTCTGAACTATGAGGTGGACATTATGGAGAGCCCCTATGTACTGACACTGTGTTTAGCTTCCCATCAGTCCAGTGCTGTAGTGGGAGGCCCTAAGAGAGGCTTGGCCTCCAATTCATGCTTAACACCCAGCAATGCAAGGATGTGCACCAGAAGTTCATCTCCTGAGCCTCACGTGGGGGCCTCTCATGCCTGAGTCCTCATTCACTCTCCTAGTGAGAATGCCAAGACCCCATGACTGTTATATACTCATGATTTTTCTTGTTCCTAGGGCTACTCTGCCTGTCTGCCCTAGATTCAGAGAAGCGTGTTTCCTGGGAGTGGGGGAAATGTCTGGGGGGATGGAACAAATCCCTCCTGGAAGGGAAGATCATAGCTTCCTGGAGACCGAAGTTCCTGAATCAATACTGCCTGACGCTTTGACCTTGGACCAGACATTTAGCATTTCTCTGATCCTAAAAATGTGGCAACAGTAATAATTGCAGTGACTGACCTTTTTGCCTTCCTGGCAAGGGCTGGAAAGGAGAGGAGAGAACACCCAACAGCCTGAATAATACCAAGTGCACCTGAAACTATTTCATAAAATAGAAAGGGAACTTACTTATTATTAGTTCTAATAGGCTAGTATATTAGTCATAAATTACAAAGTTTCAGTTAAACATAAGTAAGTTTTAGAGAGATGATGGTCAGTATGGTAGCTGGAATTAATGTATGGCATACTTGAAATAGAGTTGGGTGCAGGGGTGCACATCTACAAGCCCAGCTACTTAGGAGGCTGAGGCAGAAGGATCACAAGTTGAGGATCATTAACTTAAAAGAGAATTGTTTTGTTTCTCCAAATGAAAACTAAAACAAATCTTAAAAGTCCTGAGGATGTAAGTCAATGGGAAAACACTCTTGGATTCAATCCTCTGCAGTGAAAAAGAAAAGATAAATTGACAATCAGTTTTGTAGGATTTTTGTTTGTTTGAGATGGAGATCCACTATGTTGACCAGGCTAGTCTTGAGCACTTATGATCACGCAATACTCATATATAAATGTCCTGCATGCTGGAAGATAGGTGTGTGCTACTGTACTAGCTAGAAAGTAGATTTTAAACTAGGTTTGGTTAATTCCAGCACCTCAGGAAACTGAAGCAGGAGGAGCACAAGTTTTAAACTAACCTCGGCAATTTAGCAAGACTCAGTCTCAAAATAAAAAAGGGCTGGGGTTATAGCTCAGTGGTAGAATGTCCTTTGGTCAACCATTCAGTACTGTAAATATATATGTACACATATACGTATACATATTCCATATATATATACCATTGTATAATGGATTTGGACAGTTGTTTAGATTTCTGCTTTTGAGCTACTAATATGAATAAGGATAAAAACTTGTAGCTTTGAGCATGCTAGGCAAGAGCTCAAACCATTGAGCCCGACGAACATCCCTATGTATAAATTTGGGAAATTTTCTCACTATTGGTTATCAGAGTATAGCACTTCCCACCCCCCTTTTGTTTTGAGCCTTTGGTGGGGATTCCTGTGATGCTCAGACTGGTCCCATAATTTTTGGCTCAAGTGTTTCTCCTGCTTCTGCCTTATGAGCAGGTGGGAGTACAAGTACATGCCACCACACTTGGCTGTATAATCTCATATTGATAAGACACTTTACATATCACAGGACATCCAGAATAAAAAAACAGCAATTTAAAATGACTGAGCACAGTGACATGCCTATCATCCCAGCAGCTCAGGAAGCAGAGACAGAAGGATCATATGTTTGAGACAAACCTAGGCAGTTCAGTAAAACAGTATCTCAAAATAAAAAGGGCTGAGAATGTAGCTCAGTTTTATAATATTCCTGCCTTCAATTCCCACTAATGCAAAAAAAATGATAATAATAAAATTAAAAATTGGAACATAAAAGCTTGATTTGGTGACACATGCCTGTAGTTTCAACTATTCTGCACACTGATGCACAAGGATCTCTTGAGTTTGAGTTTGAGACAAGCCTGGATAAAATGGTGAGACATTATGTCTCAAAAAACAATAAAATAATAATAAAAATAGTAACAATTGGTGAAGCCAGGCACTGTGGCTCACATCCGTAATCCCAATGACTTTGGAGGTTGAGGTAGGATGATCACAGTTTTGAGGCAGGTATTGGGATCTTAACAAGGCTCCTGTCTCCAAATTTACAAAAGAATCAGGGGACAGGGATGAAGCTCAGTGATAAAGCACCTCTGGACCTCTGGATTCAATCCCTGTTACAGAGGATGGGGGATGAAACAAACTAATTTGACTACATAACATTAAAATCTTGGGACTGGAGGTATAACTTATGGTAGTGCTTAGCATGTGCTTAGTGTGCTTGTAGCCCTAGGTTCAATCCCAAACAACAACAATAACAAAAATAAAAACCAAACAAATTAAAATAAAATCTTCATGTATATATCCCAAGTCACAAATGAATTTGTTAGTTGAACCTGTATACCTTTTGACTCCAAAATGCAATTTTTAAAAAGTGTGTAGAACAGCATAGATTAAGGATTTTGTCTCATTATTTAGATAGCAAAAAGTAGCAAAAAATCAACTTAAATGTCATTAGCGGTAAATTGGTTAAAATATGGCATGACCATGTAATGGACTACTAGACCATTTTGAATGGATTTAGGGGGAAAATACTATAATGTGTTGCTTGGCACAATGGAGCATGACTCTAATCCAAGCAGTTTGGGAGGCTCAAATAGGAGGATACCATGTTCAAAGCCAGACTCAGCAACTGAGCTAGACCCTAAGCAATTTAGTGAGATCCTGTCTTAAAAAATAAAAAGGGCTGGGGATGTGTCTTAGTGGTTGAGTGCCCCTGAGTTCAATCCTTGGTTTCTCACTCCTCAAAAAGCTATGAAACAGAAAACACTGTATAAGTTAGGTTCCTATTTTAGAAGCTCTACCTACATTTTTATTTCCTGAAATGATGAAGTTGGAATGGGACTGCCTTCCTGTGTTCTGTATTTGTCTAAAGCCTAGATCAGACCCAGATATAAGCAAGCATCCTTTTTCCTGGGTACTGTACCCTGACTTTTGCTCTTGGATTAAGCCATTTAAATTAGGAGCCACTGTGATGGGTGAATAACAGGAAGACATACAGGTTTTATACTTGTCCCTCTCTTCTGCAAAAACCTAGCGCTCCATTCCCAGTACTCTGTTTTGTTTTTTCCTGCTCATTTGCAAAATAGATACAGAAAAGTAGACAGTTTAAAATATAGTCAAATCTAAAATTACGTATACTGGTTTGTTTCTTGTATTTTGGTATTTATCTCTGAAAATTGATTTTAATAGAGCAATTCAAACCATAAGACATTTATTAATTTCTCTTTATTTTAGGGTATGCCAGAGCAATGGGCTCGATTGGTACAGATCTCAGTATCACCAAACTAGAGCAAAAGGAGAATCCTCAAGCTCTGCTGGATGTCTTAAAGTTCTATGACTCCAACACAATACAGCAGAACAGTCTAACTTTTACTTCTCCTGGTAAGACATCAGATAGTGGTAAAAGACTGAATCACATGGAAAATTGTGAAGGACGGCAAAAGAAAAAGATTATTTCTGGAAAAATAAAAGGCTAAGCTACATTTTTGATTCCTACTTTCTCCTACATAGATTCTGCTTTTTGCAAACTGGTTGATCTTGAACATCATTTGGAGTCTAAGAATTACATTGATCTCATAGTTTTGTTAGAAATGGAATGTTTTTAATTTTTTTCCATAATTTTTATACATTATAATTAAACATGATAGTGGGATTTACATTTGTAATATGTTATTACCTTTATTTGGAGTTTTTTCCTTCCTCATTGCTTTAAATGATTTTCATTTCAGTAGGAAAAAGTCTGGATATATAGGCATGTTTATGCTAGAGATATGTTTATTGTCAGTGGCGTAAAATGAAGTTTTGCTATATAAATGCATTCACCTTGGAGTAAAAAAAATATTTTTCTACTAAAAAATGAACTAAAAGGATTTATACCTCATTATTAGAATATCTTTGGGTAAGAATTGGAAAATAATGGATTTTCTTTAAAAAAAATAGCTTGTTTAAATCAGCATCAGAATCAAATTCATGTGTTTCAGTTAGTTTAGCAATCTCTGGGATGTCTTTTGAGATATAGATTCCCCTTCTCCACACTGGTTCTCATGCTTTCTCTTCCTTGCATTGTACTTTAAAGATGCAAGATCCTTTGTCCTGTTTATCTCAGTGTAGATTTTGCCAATTACATCTCCCAATGTTTCTTTTATTTAATGTGTTTCTCTGTCTCTAAAGTCATATATCTAGTTTCTAAAAATAATATAATGAAGGGATGGGGTTTTAGCTCAGTGGTAGAGCACTTACCTGGCATATGTGAGTTTGATTCTCAGAACCACATAAAAATAAAGTAAAATACAGTTCTTGTATCCATCTACAACTTAAAAATATGAATATGTGTCTTGAATTAATTGTATTTTATATGTTTCCATCATCACAGAATCAAAGGTTGTGTTCAAAGAAGAAGTAGACTTCTTTGCCAAGTAATACTGATCCTGACCTTTTTTACTTTAATCTGGTATCCTTAGGAAATCAATTCAAGTTTTATCCTTAGACTTTTACCTAAAACTTTTGGTGTCAACTAGTAAGTAATTTACATTTTAGAAAAAAAAACATGTTAAAAATAATGCTTTTTACATATGCCATGTTTGGTGACTTTATATCCCCTTGTTCCTTGGTAGGCAATTCACTGGAGAGAGTATCTTAAACAATGAATGTTTTATTTTAATACAGATTTATAGGTATAGTTTCCATTACATTTTGGGGTAGGCCCTGGAGATTAAACTTAGTGGCACTCAACCACTGAGTCATATCTCCAGCCCCATTTTGTATTTTATTTAGAGACAAGATCTCACTAAGTGGCTTAGTACCTCACTAAATTGCTGAGGCTGGCTTTGAACTCAAGATTCCCCTGCCTCAGCTTGCTGAGCCAATGAGATTACAGGGGTGTGCCTCCACACCAGGCCTCCTTTACATTTTAATAACTTTATTGAGGTAAATTCTGCAGACCATAAAATTCAGCCATTTTAAGGATCAATTCAGGTTTTATAAAATGTATTTTTAAGGTTTCATTATGATTATAGCGTTAATAGCTGAGTTTCTTTTGAATGATATCAAAGCTTTCAGAGAAATGTAGAAATGAGAAATAAAAGAAGCAATCTGAACAAGAGAAAAGATCCAAGTTTTGGGTGGGGTTTATACTGGAGATTGAACTCAGTGGCACACAACCACTGAGCCACATCAGCCAGGGGATCTTGAGTTCAAAGCCAGCCTCAGCAATTTAGTGAGGTGCTAAGCCACTCAGTGAGATCTTGTCTCTAAATAAAATACAAAATGGGGCTAGAGTTGTGGCTCAGGGGTTGAGTACAATCTCCATTGCCCACCCTACCCATTCAAAATAGATAGTCTTAAACTATCATTTATATTACTCTTACTGTCTTTTTGTAAAGAGGATTTAAAGTGAAATCAGTTTAAGAAATTTCAT